TAATCCTAACTACTCTGGAAGCTAACATCTGAGGGCCAAAAATTCAAGTCTCAGGACTGGCATGTGAAGGGAAAGAGATGAGAGAGAAAAAAAAAAAAAAGAGGAGAAATTTAGAGAAATAGTACTTCGGTTGTGAATTCACCTGGCATCTTCACTATGGGAAGCATGCTGCCTTCCCTGCTAATAACAAACTTCCCAGTAGGGGGCAGCACCAAGCAGTCAGGTAACTGGACACTGAAAACAACTTCAGAATTTTCTGGCAAAACACAGCTTCTTATTTCCAGTTTTCTAGGGAAGAGATTCACTTCCACTTTGCTGTGATCCATGGTGTCTCCCCCCCCACCACCACCCGCTTTCAGGAACAATTCCATTTGTACTCTTTGGATGGTATGAAACAAGAAAAACATCTTCAGGGATGCTGCTTGCCCACAGTCAATCTACTGGAAAGGTTTCCTTCTCAAGCACACCCCCTGCAGAGAAAGGCTTTTCTTTGTTCTAGTCAATTCCAGAAAGAGTTGTTTACTCCTTCACTGGGATGCTGGCTGTTCACACAGGACTGCTGGTCTTATAGCAAAGCCCTCTGCTTAAGGGTAGATGTGCCATGAAAAGTTCTGCACCTAAGCCAGTGTGGCTGATGGCTCACCTCTGTAATCCTAGCTATTCAGAAGGCTGAGATCTGAGGATTGCAGCCCAGGCAAGAAAGTCCATGAGACACTTATCTCCAATTAATCACAGAAAAAGCCGAAGAAGTGGAGCTGTGGCTCAAGTAGTGGAGCACTAGCCTTGAGCAAAAGGAGCTCAAGAACAGATCCCAGGCCCAGAGTTCAAGCCTCAGGACTGGGAGAGAGAAGAGAGAGGAGAGGAGAGAAGAGAGGAGAGGGGAGGGGAGGAGAGGAGAGGAGAGGGGAGGGGGAAGAGGGGGGGAGAAAGGAGAGGAAAGCAGAGAGGAGAGAGGAGGGGAGGAGAAGGGCGGGAGAGAGAGAGAGAGAACCTGCACCTTATTTCCAAGAATCCAGGCTTGTGATTTCACAATGAGAACCTGTACACCAACCCATAAAGACATTACACCAGAGCCAGGAGAGCGTGGCTTACCCCAGTAATCCTAGCTGCTCAGGAAGCTGAGCTCTGAGAATCTAGGTTCCAAGCTAGCTCAGGCAGGAAAGGCCAGAGTCTTCTCTAATTAACCACCAGAAAACTAGAAGTAGAGCTGTATGTGGCTCAGTGGTAAGAGTGTTAGCCTAGAGAGAAAAAGCTCAAGACAATGCCCAAGTCCTGAGTTCAAGCCCCAGGGGGGAAAAAAAGACATTACACCACATCCACTGCCCACCCCTATCCCCAGTACTTTAAAAAACCCAGCAGTCCTTCATTCCCCTAACTCCCTCCAGGCCAAACCCCTAGCTCAAAGCAACTCACCAGACATCAAAGACTGAGGAGGCCCCTCCTCTACCAGTCATTGCTTTGTTCTATGAACTCTTTCAACCAACATCCTTACTGCTGATAGAACTGAATTGGAACAGCCCAGGCTTCAGTTTCTCCCACGAGTGTTGTTTTTTTGGGGGCCAGTCCTGGGGCTTGAACTCAGGGTCTAGGCTCTGTCCCTGAGCTTCTTTTGCTCAAAGCTAGCACTCTACTTGAGCCACAGCACCACTTCTGGATTTTTCTGGGTAGTTTCTTGGAGATAAGTTTCATGGACCTTTCTGCCTGAGGCTGGCTTCAAACCACCATCCTCAAATTTCAGCCTCCTGAGCAGCTATAGGATTACAGGCATGAGCCACTGGCACCCAACTTTGTGTTTTAAGGTGCAAAGGCTTTGGAGTTAGACTCCTAATTCTGACTCTGTAAAACTCATCTGTAAAACAAGTAAAAATCCCAACCTCCTAAGTTTCTGGGTAATGCAGATAAAATTGAAGCCTCCAGGAATTCAGTAGACATTCCATACAATTGTTCTAGCAAAGATCCCATGTGACTCAACTACCCTAGGCTACCCACCCCATTAATGCCTACCATATACTAATGTGCTCACACACTGGGTTCATTCCAGATGGTGTTTGTTCCTAAGTTCTCTACAGCCTCCATATCCTTCCCACTGTTTGGGTATCCCTGCTCTGCTGACACATTTATCTGCATTTAATCATGCTTTTTGTGTGTGTGTATGTGTGTCTTTGGGTCCTTCATCAAGTCAGCAGGATGTCACACAGCTGAAGGTGCCCATAGAAAGGTGTCTTTAACTGGAACACCGGTTGGAGGGATGCCCACAGCTGGATCACCAGTACCTCAGCTCCCTACATCCCATTAATGTCCACTAGCAACATTCCTCAAAATGCTATCACCTACCTCCTGGCTATTTACCTTGCCTAGCTCCTAACATCTCCTTACTGATCCCTTCTAGGGATTTACTGTTGCTTTGCTCTAGTGGCCCCAGCCTGGCCTCACTTTTCTGTCCATAGTAAAAGGCCCTGTGGGCTGGGAATGTGGCTTAGTGGTAGAGTGCTTGCCTAGCATACATTAAGCCCTGGGTACAATTCCTCATACCACATAATTCACCTACATGTAAAACTTGACACATTTTCCTCTTCAATTGACTTCATCAAGTGCTATCAAGCCTCTCCAATTCCACTTCAGGGGAGTGTGTATGTGTGTATGTGTGCGCGTGCGCGCGCATGCATGTGCACCTCCTGGGGCTTGAACTCAGGATTTGGGTGCTGTCTGTCCGAGTTTTGCTTTTTGCCAGTCTGGGACTTGAACTCAGGTTCTGGACACTGTCCCTGAGCTTCTTTTGCTCAAGGCTAGCTTTCTACCACTTCAGATTGAGCCACAGCACCTCTTCTGGCCTTTTCTATTTATGTGGTACTGAAGAATCAAATCTAGGGCTTCATGCATGCTAGGCAAGCACTCTACCACTAAGCCACATTCCCAGCCCTGTTTTTTTGTTTTTGTTTTTAACCTCAAGGCTTGCACTTTAGCACTTGAGCCACAGCTTCTAGCTTTTTGCTAATTAAGGATCAATCTCATGGACTTTCCTGCCTGGGCTAGCTTTGAACACCTACTGTCAGATCTCAGCTTCCTGAGTAGCTAGGATTATAGGTGTGAGCTACCAGTGCCTGGCTGGCTATCCTTCAAATAGCCTTCTAACTTAGCTGGGCTCAGGGCAGCTGTAGCCTAGGCCACTCCCATCCCAGGAATGGCTTCAACCAAAACATTTTAGCAAGTACCACCTCCCCTGTGAAGCCTCCTCAAACCTCACATCCCTTTAACCTAGGGCATAGTCACTACCTTATAGTTGGACAATTACAAGAATTGCCTCTTGGCAGTGTGACGTGACCCTTCACTGTTTCTAACTCTTTTCGTCCCCATCAGGGAGACCACACCATAGCTTAAAACTGTATTTCCTAGTGTGTGTGTGTGAACTCTGGTTGTTTATGCTTATAACCCTCAAATCTAGGATGAGAATCTCAGTTCTAAGCCAGCCCCAGCAGGAAAAACCTTTATCTCCAATTAACTATCAAAAAGCTAGAAGTGGAGGTGTAGCAAATGGAAGAGTTCCAGCCTTGAGTGGAAAAAGCTAATTAGGCCTCAAGTTCAAGTCCCAATACCGGCATACACATAAACAACAACAAAGTATCCTAGTCCTCCTATGAGGCATCGATCGGTCCAAGTCGCCAGTAGGCTCAAGATGCTAATACCAGAATTTAAAGGTCAAACTGTGTCCATTACCATAGGCATCCTAGAAAGTTTTCTCCAGTTCAGGATTCAAGGTTAAGCTGGACCACGGCAGGCTCTTATCTCCAAGGTTTCCCTTTCCCAGGGACTAGGACTGAGTTGTAGACCTTGAATAAGTAGACAAGTTGGCAAGTCAACTAATTACCTTGTAAACAAACCTTGAGACAAATGTAGGACCAAGAAGGGAACTAGATCTGATCCTTTAACAATATATCTGAGGGAGGTCAGGAGAAACAAGAAGCTCTCACTTAACTTAGTTTAGATTTACTGGCTCCAGCCCAGCCTCATTTTTTCTGCTCATAGAAAAAGGTCTTGTGTTGGGGCTGGGAAGGTGGCTCAGTGGTAGAGTGCTTGCCTTGCATGCATGAGGCCCTGGGTTCAATTCCTCAGTACCACATAAGCAGAAAAAGCTGGAAGTGACACTGTGGCTCAAATGGTAGAGCTTTAGCCTTGAGCTGAAGAGTTCAGGGACAGTGCCCAGGCCCAGAGTTCAGGCCCCAGAACAGACAAAAACTAATAAAAAAAAGAAAAGAAAAGGCCCTGTGGGCTGCGAATGTGGCTTACTGGTAGAATGCTTGCCTAGCATACATTAAACCCTGGAAGTACCACATAAACAGAAAAAGCCAGAAGTGGTACTGTGGCTCAGAGTGGTAGAACACTAGCCTTGAATGAAAGAGTTCAGGGACAGAGTCCAGGCCCTGAGTTCAAGCCCCATGACTGGCTAAAAAAAGAAAAAGAAAAAGATCTATGTTTGTTGCTAATATGCCAAAGGCTGGGTTCTTCCCTGCACACACCAGCACAGACACGGATCCTAGCTGCTCTTAACAGTCCTTAGGAGGGCAGGGGGCTCCAACTCAGCTGCTGAAAGTGGACAAAGACTTGATCACTGAATGTCCGGTCCCCTACAGCAGTCTGACAAGTGCTACGTTCCCAGAGCTTATTCAAGTCTGCATCAGCCACTCTTTCTTGGTCAAGGTTATCAATCCATAACACATTCTGCAATGAGAAACACCTGTTTGCTTCTCAGCAGCTATCTATTCAAGGCCCTTACGAATCTAGACCTTCTATGGCCACCTGTAAAAGTCACCCCACCCACAAAAATTCTCCTTGATGTCTTGGTTCCCCAAGACCTGCTGATCTTCAGAGCTTGGTGTACTTACGTCCTTCCATACTCAAGTCCAGCTGCAAGATCACTCCAAGTTTCCCTTTGCATGGATTTAAAATTTGCACAAGCCATTCATTCCTAAGCAACCTTATAGAACCTGAATCTGTTTTTAAGCTTTTTTTTTTATTTTAAAACAATTGGAAAATAAATCTTACATTTCAATGAAATCCTTAAGGCGGAGAGCTTGCTTCATCTTACCCCCCTTCATGTCAGCTCACACAAAGGGATCACTCAATAAAGATCAGGGATATATGGACCGAAGAGACTCCCTACTAGCAATAACTAGCATTTCCCTTTCTCTCACTTGCAATGAGCTGGAAGCTAACTGTGTCACTCGACAGAGAGGTAGAATTTGCCACTGAAAAATAAGATGGAGAATACCAGAGCTCAAGTCCCACATATTGTCATTTTTCCTGAGCCAGTCTGAGTTCTTAGCTGCAAATATGAGGATCAGTATGAGAACCAAATGAAATTAATGTAAACTACATTACAAGCACTGAACATAGTGAGTAGCTGGTATCACTTGGAGTTGCAAAGAGCTCAATCGGGGCCAAATACTTGGCCCTATAGTGAAGGTGGATTTTATTTCCTATCTTAGGGAAAGAAGTGGAGGGGAACTTTGCCAGGTACCCCAACCTAAGAAGGGGTATACCAAGAGGATGGGTCTGGAGAAGCCAGATGATCATTCAGAAGAGTTCCTCTCTGTCCAAGTCTTGGAAGATGGCTGCAGTGTGTACGCAAGAGTCACTCCCTTTGGGGTTGCAGCTCCTGCATCAATGGAGGCACAAGGAGGTATGTGCTGGTGTTCACAAGAGGAAAGGGGAGCGGGTGCCCTGAGTGAGAGTAGGGCTGGGTGACCAACACCACAACTGAATGCCCAGCAGGGTAACTTTCGTTAGGCCTGGCTGGTGTAACTCTTCTCCTGAGAAGGGACTGAGGGGCTCAGAAGCATCGCTCCATCTGATGGCTGGTCCCTTAAATGTCCATCTCAAACTGTGACTCTTCACCTGTGGAAAGAAGAGACAGAGGGTGGGTAAGCCAGGAGCAAATGAAGACACTTAAGAGTTTCTTCTTGCTCAATCTGTTCTCTCACAAGAAGAGGAGGAGCCAGACTTATGCTACTAAGGAAAGCAAGAGTAGCTGGAACTAAGTTAGGAATCTTGGCTAGGACTCCTGGGTTCCAGTCTAGAGCTTCCATGCCTAGCTATACACGTTCCCAATCTCCAAACAAAGAGCAGGCTGGGAATGTGGCTTAGTGGTAGAATGCTCGCCTAGCATGAATGAAGCCCTGAGTTGGATTCCTCAATACTACATAAGCAGAAAAAGCTGGAAATGGCACTGTGGCTCAAGTGGTAGAGGGCTAGCCTTGAGCAAAAGAAGCTCAGGGACAATGCCCAGGCCCTGAATTCAAGCCCTAGGACTGGCAAAAAATAAAATACAAATGAATGTACAGAACTCAAGAGAAAAAGGTTGAAAAGGTGCAGCAATGAAGCCTACTGGACACCTATGAAAGTAAACTAAGCAACTTGTAGGTAGAGATGGGAGGGAGGGCCTGGGAGAGTGAAAGACTGTACATGTACTCATGTAACTTTTTTTTTTGGGGGGTCCGGTTGTGGGGCCTGAACTCTGGGCCTGGGCGCTGTCCCTCAGCTCTTCAGCTCAAAGCTAGCGCTCTACCACTTGAGCCACAGCGCCACTTCCAGCTTTTTTCTTTTTGCTTATGTGGTGCTGAGGAATCGAACCCAGGGCCTCGAGCATGAAAGGCAAGCGCTCTACCGCTGAGCCACCTTCCCAGCCCACTCATGTAACTCTTTACATCACTTTTAAACAATTAAATTAATTTTTAAAAAATACAGGAAGTAGTGCTGTGGCTCAAAGTGGTAGAGCACTAGCCTTGAGCTGAAGAGCGCAGGGACAGCACCTAGGCCCAGAGTTAAAGCCCCACAACCACACACACACACAAAAAGTCATCTAAATAAACACAAATGAATGGCTACTTTTATTTTTGTGTGTGTGTTGGTCCTGGGCTTTCCTGCCCAGATTGGTTTTGAACTGAGATCCTCAGATATCAGCCTCCTGAGTAGCTAGGATTCCAGGGGTAAACCACTAGTGAGCAACCTGACTTTATTTTTCCTTTAATTTATTTATTTTTTGTCTGTATTAGGGTTTGAAACTCAGGGCTTTGAGCCCTTGCTTAGCTTTTTTGCTCATGGCTAGAACTCTACCACAATATGCCTCCAGCCTAGCTTTTTGCTTGCTTTGTCTTTATTTGTGAGGGTACTGGAGCTTGAACTCAAGAGTTCAATGTTTTCCCTTAGCTATTTTGTTCAAGGCTAGACCTCTACCTCTTGGCTTTTTTTTTTTGGTCTTGGGGCCTAGGCCTGGGCGCTGTCCCTCAGCTCTTTAGCTCAAGGCTAGCGCTCTACCACTTCAGCCACAGTGTCACTTCCGGCTTTTTCTGCTTTATGTGGTGCTGAGGAATCAAACCCAGGTCCTCATGCATGCAAGGCAAGCGCTCTACCACTGAGCCACCTTCCCAGCCCCCCATCTTTTCACTTATATAGCCTTTTTTTTATGGTCCAGTTGTGGGGCCTGAACTCTGGGCCTGGGCGCTGTCCCTCAGCTCTTCAGCTCAAGGCTAGCGCTCTACCACTTGAGCCACAGCACCACTTCCGGCTTTTTTTTTCTTTTTGCTTATGTGGTGCTGGGGAATCGAACCCAGGGCCTCATGCATGCAAGGCAAGTGCTCTACCACTGAGCCACCTTCCCAACCCTTATATAGCCTTTTTCTGGTAAATTGGAGATGAGTCTTTGTTAGCTTTGAACCTTGATACTCAGATCTCTGTCTCCTTAGTAGCTAAGATTCGAGGTATAAGTCTCCAGTGCCTGATTTGCTTGTCTACCTCTTCCCCGCCTTCCCCCCCCAACCCCATCATGCCCCCTGTCAGTGTTGGGGCTTGAACTCAGGGCCGGGGCACTCACTGTCCCTGAGCTTCTTTTGCTCAAGGCTAGCATTCTACCACTTGAGCCACTGCACCACTTTTGCCCTTTTCTTTTAATGTGGTACTGAGGAATTGAACCCAGGGCTCCATGAATGCTGGGCAAGCACTCTACCAAGAAGCCACACTCCCAGCACTGCTGGGTCTTTTTTTTTCTTTTTGGTGAGTCATGGGGCTTGAACTCTGGGCCTCGGTGCTGTCCTTGAGTGTTTCACCTCACCTCAAAGCAAGTGCTCTACAACTTGAACCACAGCACCACTTCCAGTTTTCTGGTGGTTAATTGGAGATAAGAGTCTCAGGGAACTGGGTGCTGGTGGCTCATGCCTGTAATCCTAGCTACTCAGGAGGCTGAAATCTGAGGATCATGGTTCAAAGCCAGCCCAGGCAGGAAAGACCGTGAGACTCCTATCTCCAATAAACCACAAGAAAACCGGAAGTGGTGCTGTATCTCAAGTGGTAGAGCGCTGGCCTTAAGCTGAAGAGCTGAGGGACAGCGCCCAGGCCCAGAGTTCAAGCCACCTGACCAACAACAACAACAAAAAAAGAGTCTCACGGATTTTCCTGCCTGGGCAGGCTTTGAACCATGATCCTTAGATTTCAGCCTCCTAAATAGCTAGGATTACAGGCATGAACCACCAGTGCCCAGCTCTGCTGGTTATTTTTTTAAGATTAAAGACTCATGGGTTTTTGCCTGGGCTAGGTCCTGATTTTCCAGGTCTCAGCATCAGGATTATAGACATGTGACACAGGAGCCCAGCTATTCTTTTTTTTTTGTTGTTAATATAATTTTATTACTATTTTTTTGTTTATGTCGTAGTGAGATATTGAACCCACGGCCTCATGCATGCTAGGTAAGCACTCTACCACTAAGCCACATTCCCCAGCCCTCCCCCTCCCCCCCCCCTCGGGCTTCGGCTCTGTGCCTGAGCCTCTCTGTGCTCAAGGCTAGCACTTTACCACTTGAGCCATGGCGCCACTTCCTCTAGCTACTCTTTAAGTTTACTTTTTTTTTCAGGTAGGCTCTTGCTATGTAGCCCAAACTGGCCTGGAACTTGTGATCCTCCTCCTTAATCCACCTAAGTGCTAGAATTACAAGCATGTGCCACCATACCCAGCTAGCTCACTTGTGCCTATTTAAACCAACTCCAAACACAAAAATATAGGCCCTATTACTCAGATATACAATTGCCCATGGAATAGCTTGACCTTGCAATAAATAAAGCAGTTAAACTGAATAATTCAGTCACTATTCTTTTTCCACTAACATTTCCAAGTAATTCATACTGTGGGAGTGGTTTTGTTGTTGTTGTTGCTTTTATTTTTTTTGGGGGGGGGTCTGGTCATGGGGCCTGAACGCTGTCCCTGAGCTCTTCAGCTCAAGGCTAGCGCTCTACCACTTGAACCATAGCGCCACTTCCGGCTTTTTTCTTTTTGCTTATGTGGTACTGGGGAATCGAACCCAGGGCCTCAGGCATGCAAGGCAAGCGCTCTACCACTGAGCCACCTTCCCAGCCCTTGTTTTCGCTTTTAAATGGGACTGTCTCAGTCATGGTCTACTGGGCAAGGATAGTTTCAAGGTTCTAGATTGTAAGATGCCTGTTTGGGCCCTCAAATAGGGACAACACTCGTCTCTCCTTTGGTTATATGTACACAAGTATGACTCCAATGGCGGAACTCTTGTTTTTTGTTTTGTTTTCCCTTGTGCTGGTTATTGGGGCTTGAAATCAGGGCCATGTGATCTTGCTTAGCTTTTTTTTGTTGTTGTTGTTGGTTGTGGGGCTTGAACTCTGGGCCTGGGCGCTGTCCCTCAGCTCTTCAACTCAAGGCGAGCGCTCTACCACTTGAGCTACAGCGCCACTTCGCTTAGCTTTTATAGCTGAAAACTGGTGCTTTATCACTTGAGTCATACCTCCACTTCTGGCTTTTTGCTGGTTAACTGGAGATAAAAACGTGTCTCGTGGGTTTTTCTCTGAGATCTCAGTATCTTGAGTAGCTAGGATTACATGTGTGAGCCACTTATACCTAGCGGACCCTTGTTTTCTTATATCCAGTTAAACAAAATGAAAAGATATCTCACTTCCCACTCACCCTAGTCTAACAACTGTGTGGACAACCCTACTTTTGTTACAGGTCAAAGCAGCTCTAGAAACTGGGAGCAAAGAACGTGTAAATAGGGGTGACAGCCTTTAGGTAGTGGTGACTTGGCAGTTTCAGGTGTTGAGTAGCTCTATCCTCAATGGCATCTTAGGTGGGTTTGAAGAAAAAACTAGAAGTAAGAGGCAGTGACTAAATGACTGTATCCTTGAGCAAATGTCAGGTGACCACACTAATCATCTGTCACATTGCTCTCTGCAGGTACCTATATCCACCCGCCTACCAGGTCCTCTGAGCCGTGGAGACAAAGGCACCTGCTGTCTGTCTTGGGTTCTGGAGTTCCCAAAGTAATTATGAATCATGTCCTGCAGGGCCGGATGGGTGGATTCTGCTGCTGTCAGCACAGCAGGTGGAGCCCTAGGCCCCAGCTGCTTTCTGCCTGGGCCTTCAGGGTGAAGGGTCAGTGGGTTCCATAGGATCAAAGTGTTCAGGCATTGTCCTCCCACTGAGGAGAGCTCAGAGGTTCTGGCTAGCCAGTCACCATGCTACAAAGGGCACATTCACACTTGTTGCTACCAAGGTGACTGCTCTGAGTATCTGAGAATTGGGGATACCAGGAAGGACATAGCTGTGAAATGTCAAAGCCTCAGAGACAACAGGGCTTATTGTTTCTGCCTCTCTCCATAAATGATCCATTAAAGAACTCTCACTCGCCAAGAAGTAACCGGATGTAGTTCTTATCTTATAAACATGTGATTTCCTAGAGGGCAAGTGCACCAGGCTTTTGAAAAATTGCCTCCTGCACAAGGGCGCTAATTATTTGGAGACAATTATACAGAGCATGTTTATGAAAGTTTGTGATGCCACTGTCATTTTAGATAAGCACTAATTACATTGCCTGATGGTGCCAAATCAGCGTTCTGAGGGTTCTTGGGTTTGTTCCAGGGGCAGGCTGGCTATAGGAAGTAGGAGAGTCAGGCTCACCCCCTGCCTGAAATCCCCCAAAAGGACAGGCATTCCTCTTTCAAAGGACCAAGGCAGAGCCTGGCCACTCACCAGTCACCCGCTTTTCTTCTGGGCTGTTGGGCAGGTGGGTTTGGCTAGCTTCCACAGGTGGTTCGTCACTGGTAGGACTAGTGACCCCAGGAATGGTTGGCAGGTCCCTCGGGGGCGTTTTGGCCACAGGTGAGTTCCGACATTCCATCAGGAATTTGCGGTCATAGATGATCCTGGTTCCTAGAAAAAGGCACAGGGAGAATAATAGTCACTGTGAGTTTCCTGCCTCGAGTTTTTCCAATTCTTAGAGCAGAAGTAGCAGGTTGTCCTAGATAATCTGAACCAAGAAGGATTGAGGCTTCTCTAGAGCCTGGCCACAGCAGACACACACACACACACACACACACACACACGCACACGCACACACACACACGCACACACACACACACACACACACACACACGCTCCTCAGTGGGCCAGCCTTTTTCCTCTGCAGATCCCCAGTGTTTCTGCCTGGTTTCACACTTCTGCGTTTGCACATTGTGTTCCCTTTTTCTTTTCTTTTGGTGCTAGTCTTGGAGCTTGATTTTAGGGTCTGGATGTTGTCCCTGAGCTTTTTTGCTCAAGGCTGGTACTCTACCACTTGAACCACAGCCCCATTTGGGGCTTTTTGGTGGTTAACTGGTAGTAAGAGTCTCACAGACCTTCCGGCCCCAGTTGGCTTTGACCATCAATCTTGAGCCTCCATAAGTAGATAGGGCTATATGTGTGAGCTGCACTACCTCCAGGGTGAAGACCAGTCCCACTAGATGATTCTCCTATCACTAACCCACAACCAGGACCTTCTATGTGTAGCTGCTTAAATACCACAAAAAGGAGCATTTCCTAAAGTAGAGGATGGTGGACCCCAAGGTCTTGGTGGAAGACAGCTGTTGCATGAGGTATTGGTAAATGAGAGTTTCCATGTTTTGCCATGGCCTCTAATGTAGGAGGAAGATACTGATTTAACACCTCCAAAGCATTTGCTGACTGCTCCCCTTCTCATGAGCAGGCCTAAGCCTCCAACAGGTAAAAGAATCTAGCTAGAATTTAAAAGCTATCTGACATTGTATGTCTTTTTATAGTTGCCTTCTATTTATGGCAAGTGAATCTAATTGATGATATTGTCATCTTCTTGATGGTATTATTTCCTTTTCAATATACAAAGTGATATATTTTATATTCTGTAAGTTCTATTTTACAATATCATGTATTACATAATATATAAATACAGTATAATGCAAATTAAAATGAAAAAAAGACTGGGGCTGGGGAGGTGGCTCAGTGATAGAGTGCTTACCTTGCATGCATGAGGCCCTGGGTTC